TTGGGAACATTTTTGCCAGATTTTGAGAGTTTTGAGCAATCCTATTAGTTCGTGTTTTGCCAAAATTGGAGCTTGAACTTCTCTCGTTCCGGGCTGCTATAGCAAATTGGAAAGAGGGGTGCCTAACACCCTCCCTCTTCCAATCCTTGGAACCCAAGATCTCGGTTAAGTGCTCTCCTCGGTTAAGGACGAAGTCGCTATCAAAGGCTCAATTCGAATCTTTCCAAACCCGGAAATGAGGTCCCATTTCCTCTAAAAAATGGGTGGTGACTCCAACTCTTTGAGCCGACCATGAGCTTCCCGAAGCTCACACCTTGTAAGCCTGGATTTCTTGCAAGAAAAATTTCAGTACATCCAGCTGCACATCAGGAATATCTCCTGTACATGTATGTTAAATTCATAGGGAGATGTTCTCATGTGTATGTAGAGTTTTTGCTTTCTAGAGATCAATCCAAATCATTTATGTCACTCTTGGAATCCATCATAAATTTTCACAGTTTTAGAACAACCCTCTATAGTTGGCAGAAATTTAAATGAAAGGTAAAACCATGAAGAAAATAGTCAAGATTCACCAAAAGGAAAAAGAATGAAGTATTTTCATACTTCTTTTGGTATTTAATTATGAGCTCTTGTTGTAACTCATGTACAAATATTTTCAGACATTCATACAAGTTTGACCATTGTTTCAAAAACTGAATCTGTCATCAACCCAGAAAGCCAGCCAGGGAGAAGGCTTGGCCACTTGTGCAGTGCTGTTGATGATGTAGACCTAATACACCCAAAGAAGGGCTGCTTGATTACTTGGGAGATAGTGAGTAGGAAAGTAGTGTCCATTTCTGGAATTCTAATGGGTATTTTATGATTAGACAACATTACCAGGAAGAAGTACTTTTCCCATCTTGTTTAAATTTTAATTCCTTTGTCAAGATTCAAATTTCAGCATTTTGTAAGCTTAAGATAAGCCTCAATGGCTTATTTATAAGTGATATCTAGTTTCTCTTTTCTTAGATTCAATTGGAGTTGGTGACTCCCTTAGGGTTGAGATGCTAGTAGCCTTTGAAGGTGTTCAAATTGGCAAGGAATTGAACATTAAGTATAAAGTGACATAGGACTCGGTGCTAAGAATTTAGATTGTCCAAGAAGCTGGTTCTGTTGGAACGACCCAGCCACAATCCTGGTTTAAATCAACCTCTAGACCACCATATTATAGAAGCTGTTGGTTGAGTCAATGACCCATGGACCTGGACAGTGAACAGTTCACCAAGCTGACATGTTCAATGGGTCACTAGTTTTATATTATTTTTAATTATTTTCAATTTTTTTATTTTTATAATGATGACATCAGGGGTTGACCTAGATGGCTGAACTGCTGACCCATTGACGCAGAGGATAAATGGTTCAACCTTCAGGTGTAATGCAGCGTCAGATAATGCATCTTTGGTGTTTTGGTTCTTACCATTTTGGTAAAACCATCACTAAAGGCATCTTTTGAGCTTACATGGTCAAATAACGTATACCTCAAATTCACTCAACAAGTGCTTGACATTTGAACCTTTTTTTATTCTTTGTTCGAAAATGAACAGAGCAGGAAACCCACTCAACTGTGGACTAACTTCTATCAATGCGATAACAAATTCTTAACCTCATGGAATTTCAATTTGTACCTTGGTTGGTTGCTTTCTATTATGGAACCAATTAATTTTTTCTCTTGTTCCACATCTTGGTTTTTAACTGTGGTTTCTAATCAGGCTTGATTTTGCTTATTATCTTTTATTTTCCAGCTCCATCGGCACAAAGTGGATGATCAGTATGAGAGTGGACTGTCTATAGTTCATTCCATTCTACTTTCCATCCATGAAGCAGATCTTCACACAATCAAGTCAAGCCCATGTAATGCCAGCTGTATCAGGTTTTCTTTGGCAAAGCTCCTGAGATCCTATGGTTATGATTCTGCTGTATGTGCATCCAAGTGGCAAGGTTCTGGAAAGGTCCCTGGAGGTATGCCGACAAATCAACCGATCTTGTGCTACTCTGGTGTCTTTTTAGTGTTTCAAAGTGCATAATAGTGGGAGTCTATCTTGAACCACATGTCTCATATTCTATGATAGGCATTACATGCATAGCAGGTTTGAATACTCATGTTATGCATCCATCCTGTCTGATGTTTTAGAACAGAAATGACCTGTCTTTACATGTTTCTGATCATCTGACAAGCTTATCTTACATTCAAAAAATGAGATGGATCAGCTTTAGGGGCCATTTGATAACATCTGAAGTGGCTCTTTGCTTTTGCCATTTAGGCTCAGTTTGGAAGAAGTACAAATACAAATATATTCAGTACAAATACAAGGTTTAGAAATAGGCCATATAAGGTTTTGCACCATACATATTTGTATTTATACTCTTCCCAAACAGAGGCTTAGCAAATAAGTTGGGCTCATGTTAGGGTTGGGCCCCATTTTCTGGCTTTGGCTAATCTGGAGTCAAATGGCAACTGGCAAGCGATGCCCCATCCATGCTATCTGATTTTTTTTTCAAGATTAATTTTGTCATCTGATGGTCAATGTGCAGGAAAGCACATGGATGGAATACAAGAAGTCGAGCTGAGCAACAGAGAGAGTTCAGACGACTCCGGTGAGGACAATGAAGTCAGAACCATCAATAATACTGTAAATGAACTGAAACCCAACAAAATTAAAGCCAGTAGACCTGCTCCATTAGACGTTCTTAACCGTGTAAACATAAACAACACACTCGAGACCCTGCGCTCCACCATAAAATGCTTCCTCAAGGTTTCCGAAAGCACGGATTAATTTGAGTTTCAGTAAAAAGAATCTGAAGAATACCAGATGATATGCGATAAATATAATTCCATTAAGTGTTTTCCTCTTACCTTCTAACCATACTGATGATCATCATTTTTAATGAATGAACCAACTTTATCAATCTCTTGGCATTCTCCAAGATAATGAATAAATATAACAAGGCCAAATTCCCACTCTACTGCCAAAATTTTATTGCTTTCTGTTAACTTCTGGTTAAGAACCTGTTTCACTCCCATTTCCCAATTGTTGCATATTACTTCACATGGTGCATCAAAAGCTTACCTGAACATGGTGGACAAGTCCTATCTTGGCAGCTCCGATGAGGTGAGCCTTAAGTATATTGCAATCTATCTGAGCATTAGAATGGTTTCTGCACTTGCATTTGTTACCTAATGATATACTTTTCAAGCAGCTTCATGTTTTAAGAACAGGGCCTTATTGAGGTTTACATTGTCTGATTACCTAATTTTCCATAAAACTGGACTTAATCTTGCTTTTTCTTTGGCTTTGTAGGTTACCGGGGTCATGAAGAGGATTTGCATTGGAAGATGTGTTACATTATTCAAGAAGTTTTTTTTAATGTCTTGTACTTTTTTTATGTAGTGGCATTTTTGTAATTTCTATAAAAAAGGCAAAAAAATATTGTTAGATTCTATTTCCCTCATCCTCATACCCTCTTATGTACACATTTCAGCTTAATATATTTATATAGATTGTATTTAAGCAATTTGTTTTGGGTATTATAATAATTAATATATTAATTAACAGTTTTTTTTTTTATTTTCAATTTGCATTTTTTATTTAAATTGATTTTTATGCATTATCTACCATGAGATTTGTATTAAACAGGTACAAACAAAACGTTGAAATCAAATTGATATAAATAATACAAAATAAAAATAAATAAATAACGAAGGTCATACAACCACTGCCTTAGACATAAAAGCGATCTAAGTCGGCAGTCCAGACTGCCACTTAAAAGCAGAAGCAACATTTCGACGAACCTAAGGCGGCGGTCCAAACCGCCATCTAAAATCGGAAGCCACATTTTGACAAACCTAAGGCGGCGGTCCAAAGAGATCTGAGCTGGCGGTCACGATCGCCACCTAAAAACAGAAGCAACATTTCAACGGACCTAAGGCAACAATCCAAAGAGATCTAAGTTGGCAGTCCAGACCGTCACCTAAAAAGCGGAAGCAACATTTTGACAGACCTAAGGCGACGGTCTAAAGAGATCTAAGCTGGTGGTCAAGACCGCCGCCTTTATTAACTCTAAGCTAACGGTTCTAACATACCACCGGTTTAGGAATGATTGAATCGCACCAGACCGGTCCTCAAAGGCGACGGTCTTTTCTGTCTAAGCCGGTAGTCTTGACCTAGGCCGACAGTGGTTTACGGGGCGGACTCATGATCAAAGCTGGTGGCCACCGGCTTTGACCGTTTTTCTTGTAGTGGAGTCCCTTCATGATTAGTTGTTGGTAGAGATTGATCGTCAATGAATGTGTTCATCACTAGAGAAGGTTGCAATAGGTACTTAGGGTTTGAAGGTTTGAGCTTTATTTGGGTAGCAATGTGGAAGTGAAATTGGGGAGGGGAGAGGAGATCATGCACATGGGTAGCTTGCATGAACTCAGATTCAATACTCATAAAATGGTGCTTACATCCTTCTCACAATGAGACTGGCTTTGGTGCTCACAAGACTATACTCACACTATATGCACATCCCTTTACATCGTTCGTATAGTGTAAAACATACAAGTATAGAGATATTCCCAATGCAAAGCTGCAAGGGATTGTGTGAACAGTATAAACACAGTCTTGTGAGCATTGAAGCTGATTTCTCTCACAACCACTTCCAACTATATATTGAGAATATTTTCATATTTGTATCATTTTATTCATGGGTGATATTCCCAATGCATGGTGGCTGTGAATATGGTATGAGCACCTTTCTGTGAGGACTGAATCCGATTTTAACTTAAAGAGTCCGGATCTGATCCTCACAAAGCATGCCTCCACACATAAGCATCTCCTATACTTATATTTATTATTCATGGGAGATGGTGTTGCTATAGAACTGGACCGTACAAACGGCCCAAAACGTTTTAGGAACGGAGGGCCCATTGTGTTAAGTGGGGCCACCCAAATGGTATGGTTAGAAGAAAAGCCAGAGGTATGTTCGTAAGTAACCCTTCTGCAATCTGGCCTCCTCTTTTTTGACACAGGAACGCAGAGAAGGAGACGGAGAGATTTTAATCCATGGCTGGAAATCAAGAGGAGCTTGACGGAGTACTCCTTTACTACAAATATGCATCCGTTCCTGACGTTCAAGAACTCGCTAACTTTTACGAGTCGAACTGCAAATCACTCGGTCTACTTGGTCGAGTTCGTCTGGCTCCAGATGGCGTCAATGTCACTGTAAGTTGCCGTTTTTTTCCTTTTCCTCTTCGTTTTACCTTGTCGTTTTATACTTTTTAAAAACTAGAAAGCACTTTGATAATGAGTTGACTCCTTGGTATTTCGTATTGGTTTTGTATTTCTATTGCGCGCCGTTTGCAGAATGTTGCATATAACCTGTTAAATTGATAGTTTCCCTGGATTTCTTTAGTTTATTAAATACCAGACTTATTTTAAATCTTCTTTATTTTACATTTTTAATTATACAAATCGATTTCTTTGGTGGCAATCAGAAATGCCAGTCAACTATTATTGGGGTCTCCAGCAGTCCAGCTCAGTGTGAGGTGGTAAAAGGATATTTCTTTCCATACATAAGTCAGAATTACTTACTCAGCTCGGGGGTGGGGGACTCATACCACTATGCCATGACCAATATTTATTATTGCAAATTTAGCTAAGATGTTGAAAAAAAAAAAAACTAAACTTAGCCAAGATGTAACTTGTCAGTGGCAGCATTACCTTCTTTTATGTTTTGAAGCTGTACATCTTCAAATTTATAAGGTGGATATAGTCAACTAAAAGGGTTCTAAAGGAGGCATTGTTAAGTTAGGCCTTCATAGAATTGGACCGCAAAGTAAGAGCCACTTCTAATTTTCTTTTTTGATAGATAAGAGCCACTTCTAATTTTGAATCTTGAGTTTCCTGTTCTGGGAGCAAGTTGCGTGCCACATATAACAAGACAGTTTTGGAAAAGATGTCCAAAATAGATAGCAATGCAATCTCCTTTTTGGTTCAATATAAGTTCTCCTGCATGTGATAAACTATAGGTAGAAGAAGCTGGTCTATTAGTATCATAGTTGTCAAGGTGCCTAATTTGAAACCCTAATATGAACCAAGTTTACCTGATACGGAGTACACAAATTGCAGCTCCCAAAGTTGTAGTTCACATCCAATATCAGACCTAGATCGACTTCCAATTGAAGATGGCGCAATTGAATATGTGAAGTTGATTCAACAACACTGTTTCTGCTGATTTGAACTCCAATTGCTTGGGATTTGATGCATCTATGTGAATCTTCTTTTCTGAGATGATGGAAATTAGTCTTTAATAAGACTGGTTCGAACTAGGGTTTTTGGATTAGGACTTAATCCTTATATTAGAATGGGGGCTCCATACCCATTATCAAACCCATATTTGATCCATATAAGTTGTTATATGACTTCTTTAACTAGTCTTACTAGTAATGGGCCCAAGCTCATTTTCTTTAGTGGTTCACATACATAGGTGTTGCATGGCATCTTAGGCCTGATTATTGTGTGGCGTGGGACCTACAAAGGTCTCACATAAATCCATATGGGTTCAACCTTTGTCTAGAAAGAGATAAGCCGAATTCACTACACAAGGGCAGTGAACCCTTGAGCCAAGCAAGTTGGGCTTAGTTTGGGCCCAATATTTAAGTCTAAGTGACCCTTGGGTTCAATTACCTATGAAATCCAAGGGCTCAATCTGGGCCCTTAACCTCTCAACCCTAAATAATCAAAACCTGCTTACAGGAAATGACCTCTTCCTTGACTATAAAATGTAGTGCCACACCCTTTGCTCAAATGGATCTTGGGATTGAAACCTTTTGCAAACCTTTTTTAGAAAATAACATATATAAGTATAAATACACTTTGCAAACCTGATTTCAAATACAATTGAAATCCACTACCGACAGTTTTAAGTTTTCATTAGAGAGAGTGTAAACCTTGATGTTCACTTGGACAAAGGGGCTAATCCTATCACTATGATCACCCACTTAGGTAATATTCTAAGCTGCTCCAAAATACCTAGATATTTGACCATATATGGATTTCACTGGTTGGCATATCAAAAGCAGCTTAGTCCAAGACTTAGTGTAGTATCATAATCAAGTTTGGGGTTAAGTGCAATTTTTCAGTTTTGCCCATCAATCTCCAAGGTCCAGGGCACAACTGGGAATTAGTCTAGGTTCGATGCTTCTCACAAACACCCATTAGCTGTGCTTGTGGTCCAATCTTAGTAGCTGAGACAGGTTGCTTCACCAATTTGGCAGCACATTGGTGTTAGCCTTGTTAGGATAAGCTCCCAAGTTTATCTAATGGCTGAGAATATTCTAAACTAACACAAGTCTCATAGATGTGTATTTGAAGGAGTAATTCACAAAAACATACTAGTCTGAACATAGAACAATAAATGTATTCATGTTATTATGTATAAATGTTTGTGTACATCAATTTGGATGAAGCTAAGGGCATACACTGTCTAATACTTCTTCCACACTAAAGCTTCTTTCTAAAAGGACTGCTTGTGTTTCTGCACTATGATCCAATACGTCTCTCCCATTTCCAGGTTCCTTTCTCCTATGGAGGCAAATATTGACTTAAAATGATCCACAAAACTCTTGACAACTTCCTCCTTTGAAGTTATCACCCAGCTGTCAATCTCAATGCCATTGAGTGAAAGAATTTTGTGTTATCATCTCCCTCCAAAAGCCACTTACATCTTGATTTTTGTCTCCAAGATATTTCTTCCTTCCTCAAAATCTCCTCTAATTCCACTTTTAGATTCCATCTTTCTAATCTTTCCTCCACACTACCCTAATGTATTCAAGTGATTCCATATCTTTCATGTATCTATGTGTTTCCAAAACGTATCCCTATCCATATCCAAGCTGTCCAACATGATACACAATACCGGTGTTTTAATACTTGAAAGAAAAAGGTACACGAAAAGGACCCTTAGGAAGTGGCGGCCCATTCTTTTTGTTCTGCAGCCTATAATTGGGTTTTTTTGATTACTTTCATGCAGATTTGTTGTTGTTGTGTTTAATATAAACTCTTTTTTGGCATAATACATAGACTGAAGTTCAGCTCATCAGACCCTGTTGCATAAAATTACATGGTGAATGGTGACAGGCAGTTGAATTGAGCTGCAAATTACATTATATTTTACCTTTTCCCTTTTGATTTTTCTTGTATTCTTCTTATGTGGATTCAATCAACTTTTGAGGTTTTACTGGCCTCTTGTAATTCTATTAATGTTCTTCTCTTTCACTTAATTGGTAGTGGTGACAAATGGCAACATTGCCATGATCATTCCATATATCAATTTATTATTTTTTATGCAATTTCTTTACTGATCCTTTTCTTTTAATATTTGAGAATTTCTGCTTTATTATTAGGTTGGTGGAAAGTTATCCTCATTGGAGAAGCATATTGCCATGGTCAAATTGAATCACTTATTTGAGGGAACTGATTTCAAGCTTGCATCTTGCCATTGCCCTACAAATAACAGGATTGCTAAAGAATGTGGATTCACATCTCTTTCGATTCGAGTTGTCAAGGTTTTTCTAATTATCTTATCATTTCTTAGATTTTTGAAATTATATTCAGTTGATTGATGGTTGGGTTGTTCATAGAGCTTCTTGTGCTTTCACTTTTAGGGAGTCCAAGTGACTACCAAAGCTATATAGGAAAAATGCCATACAGGGGGACATCTCTTACACCGATTATTCTTAATTTCTAAAAATTGTAGCTAATGATGTTTTTTTTTTTTATCCGTTTGTTCCTTTCTTTTACCCTCCTTTCTCCTTTTTTACTAGATTGTGGATATAATTTTGTCATATGCCTATAGGGTGTGTCTTGGCTTGATTATTTAATTGCATGGTAATATGGACACTGCCGTCTTTGTATATGGGGAATACTGCATGGGATCCAGTTCTTTGGTAATTCTCTCTGGATGCTAATGGCGTGCTTGTATTTCCATGCCCTTGTATGACTATTTGACTCGCATTACTTAATTATTAATAACACCTTTTTCCATTGATGATATGCTAGAAAATTTAATATAAAGTGGGGGAGGGGAATGTACATGAGAAAAAGTACAACCAAAAACAAAAGGCCTCTATGACATTGAGAATTACAAATGCATAGTATTTGCACTATACAAAAAATCCCTGTCCACCCCAGATTTAGCAAGAGTATCAACTAATGAATTCATTTCCCTTGGAAGCCATCTAAACGAGCAGTTTAGGAAGGCTGAGAGATCATGGATCTAATGAAGGAAGTTAGCAAGTCTCCAAGTGCTGAGGTCCCTAACAGCCCAGGCTGGCCAGCCAATCGCATTTCTAGAATTACCTTCCACTGTTATAGATGTGGCTAGAGGTGTCAATAGGTTGGGTCTGGTTCGGGACAGGCTGTACCAGTCCTGAACCAATTATTAATCAGTTCCATATGACAGACCCAGAACCGTGCCATTTATTAATTGGGAGTTTGGGACAATCGGGTCTGACCCGATTATACTTGAGATCCATAATACCTATTATATAACAATTTAAAACTTTGTTTTTGATAATATAACCTTAATAAAAATGATTATGTTGGTAAAATAAATGTTTTAACCAGAATTATCTTCTATACAATCTATGAAATTTACCCTTGTGGACATAAAATATAACAAAAGTTACAAGAAGATCAGGTGGCCTTTATATATTATTAGCTATATAATTGTGTCTGAATCAGTTTGGAACAGCAAGAGCCTGACCCGACCCAATTATTAATTGGAACAAAACCATAGAACCAGAACTGACATGATTGGTTCAGTCAGGTAGACGCGATCTATTGACAGCCTTAGATTTGGCTGAGATACACTTTTTTATTTGATCAGCAAAAGTTATCGTTAAAGATGAAAATTAATGATAATACAATTGTTGAAGATACCAGCATCCCTTGGTAATATTTTACAAATTTGCCCAAAAAGAATTTGTCTATCAACTCCCTGTTTGGCTAATATATCTGCTACCCCATTTGCAGACCTTCTCACCTAGCTGAACTGTGAATTCAGTTCTTTGCAATAACATCACTTTCCCTGAAAGCATGTTTGTATTTCCAAGGTGCTGCCTTAAGCTGCTTTGCCCAATGGATCACTAATTGTGAGTCACCTTCCACTTAGAAATCTCTAAGTTCAAGCTGTTGTGCTAATCTCAAGCTTTGTAACAATGCCAAAGTTTCTGCCTTTATTGAATCATCCATGCCGATTGGTCCTGAATACAGAGCCACATCGAGCCTTGATGTTTTCTGATAACTCCCCCAATACCTTCTCTTCCTGGGTTGCCCATAGACTTCGAACATTTTCAATGTTTTTACCCAGTGAGCAGTTCTCACTGAAATAGCTTCCACAATCTCCTCCTTGGACCTGCTTTTTTCATTGAAAATTCTGCTGTTTCTTTACTCCCATACTGTCCAAACCAAGGCAGCTCTTAAAGCCCTCCTCATGATTTTCCCTTTCTTGGGTCTCAGGAAGTAGGGGTTGAAAAGGTTTACCACTTCTTGTGGGGGGGGGGGTCCATTTGCAACCAAAGAGAGAAGAGGTATATTCCCAAAGACAAACCACAAGTGGATAGGATGTTAATAAGTGAGGCAAGGTTTCATCACTAGCCTTACAAAGAACACACATGATGAGAGAGGCAAGAGTTTGGCCTCCTTTTCTGTAGAATGGTGTTAGTGGCTGATAAAGGAGCAACAGATTGGAAGAAAGTCTTGAGTACAGTAGCAGGAGAGATAGGCATTGAAAATGAAGCAATGCTATTTCCATTTGTAGAGACGAAAGCTGTTCTTGATGTAGGCGACCAGGAGCTAAGCTTCAAAGCAGTAGTTGTGGATGGAGGTCTTATACAGGTCCAGAACTGGATCCCAATCTGTAACGAAGTTGCAGTTCAAGATGGGTGCATTCGGCTGAAGCTAGTAGGCCTTCCCTTCAACCTCTGGCGGGACTCTGTTCTTGAGCACATTGTGCAGAGCTTAGGAGGTGTATTGGTGGAAGCTAATAAACGAAATCTGGGTGCTGTTGAGATACAGGTCGCTGGTATTAAACATGAGAACCTGCCTAGGTTCTTTGAAATTTGTTTTGATGATGTCTGGTACAAGGTGTGGCTGGCATCAGAGTCGAACAATCGTGGTGGGGAAGAAATTCTAAGGTTGAAGACGGTGAGATGGTAGGGTGGTGGACATGTAGAGGAAAGAGAGTGGGCAGCGAAAAGGAGGTGCAGGGGAAAGCTAATAGAGGAATTAATGTGTCAGCTGGGGTAAACCAAACGACAAGTCACCCATTAAAGGAAGTTAATTCAATTTTTTTTGAATTAAACAAGGTTAAGGCGGGCAGTCTATCTTTTGCTGACGTGGTAAAGAAATTAAATGGACCAGGGCGTCGAAAGGCTTGGTTCGAGCTGGTTGAGGTGTTGGGCGGGTCAGGTGGGTCGAATACTAAACTGGGGCACAGTTTTAGTGACCCACGTGACAACTTAAAAGGTCACATGGGTCGGGGCAAGGAGACACATCAAAGGCCAACTGTAGACAATAGTCTCGGTCTATCTTCTTCCCAAATGGCGAGAAAATTGGGGAAAACTTGCAGCAACGGAGAATGGACAAACAGGGTAACCTACAGTGGGTCCCCCGCTGAAACCATGAGGACTTTAGTTCTCTGCGATGCTGCTCAGAGAGGCCGAACCCAAGATATGCAAGGGAGAGAGCTGAAGAGAGGGAGGAGACGGACAAAGGGTGGGTGCAGTCTAGCGTAGATGATGAAGAATCGGATGAATGGTTCGGTGATGGTACCGGCATTGGTAGTGTGAACGACGAAGGTGGTTATGGTGTAGGCGACATGGGTATGTTGAACATTGCAAGCCTATTTCAGGGTGACATAGGGGAAAAATGGAGGCATGAAATAGACAGCTAGAAAGATCAGACAGATGAAGGAAGAAGACCTGGGCTTCTTGAAACAAGTAGGGCTGAAGACATTAATGGGAATAACTCATCCCCAAGACTTCAGAATGTGCAAGGCACAAAAGAAGGGGTAAATTGGGAGAACCTGAAGTAGAGCGGGAATACACCAACTAGGGGTGAACCAGGGGTAGAGAGGAAAGATCGCCATGTTGACCAAAGGACAGAAGTACTTTCCAACCAACTCAGGGAGAGATATTTACCAACCTCTAGAACAAGAAAGGGAGGCTGGGAACAATCCTATTCCAACCTTTCTATCAAACCCAGGTAACCAAGTGAATTCAGTTTGTGCTACTAATGTGTTTTCTGTGTCCTTTGTTCCAGATTCCGTTCCCGCTCCATGTCTTGTAGCCCATGTATGTGCAGCCAATCAAGGTGGTGGGTCTTCTAAGGTTATGGAGAGGGGAATGAAGGACAGTGGGGAGGTGTGGGAAGGGAGGTATAGGAATGAGAAAGTGTGGGAAATTATTGAAAGAGTGTTTAATGAAGTGGAAGGAAATATGATATGGAGGAAGGATGGAGAGGAGAGAAGAGGGGAGGGATCAGTGGAGAGGAGGGAAGGAAAGGAGGGCAGAGTTGGAGGGGAACATGTGGAAAGAACAGTGATAGAGGGAGGAAATTTGATATGGAGGAAGGATGGAGAGGGAGAGAGGAGGGGAGGGATCGGTGGAGAGGAGAGAGGAAAAGGAGGGCAGAGTTGGAGGGGAATATGTAGAAAGGACAGTGATGGAGGAATCTAAGACAGATGACCTAATAGCAGAATTTGTGGGGAAGCTGGGATGTAGGTTGGAAGACTTGAATGTGTTGAAAGATGGCCTATAGAAGAGGAAGAAGGATATCGGAATAAAGAAGAGAAAATTAAGTGAAGTTAAGAGATTGAAAAGAGATGTGGAAGGTGACAAGAAGTTCGGGGTAAAAGGAGATAGAAGGAAAGGGGGGAGGTAGTGGTTCGGTGAAGAAGGGAACTAAGAAAGAAGTGAGAATGAAGATACTTAGTTGGAATGTGAGGGGAATAGGAAGTGTAAGGAAAAGAGCGACAATAAAAGAGGTATGACCCAGACAGTGTACTATTACAGGAGTCCAAGAGAATGGAGTTTAATAATGTATGGGCAAGGAGTGTCTGGAAAGCCAGGGGGATTAGTTGGGTGGCCGTTCCCTCGTGGGGTGCTTCAGGGGGGATAGTGACTATGTGGAAGAGGGATGTGATTGAAGGCTTGGAGGAATTGATTGGAAAATACTTAGTTTCCATGAAGTTTAAACAGCAAGAGGATGGCTATGTGTGGGTGCTCACAAATGTCTATGGACCAAATGACTACAGAGAGAGAAAGGAATTGTGGGAGGAGCGTGCTGATGTCAGAGGGCTGTGGGATGGGCCCTGGTGTGTGGGTGGGGACTTCAATGTGATTAGATACTCGGAGGAAACCAATAATACTAATTAGAGGGTGACAACTAGCATGAGGAAGTTTAATAGGTTTGTGGATGCCTTTGAGCTCAAAGAGCTCTAGCCCACAAGACATTTACATGGTCAAATCTCCAATCTAGCCCCATCTACTCCAAAAGAAGAGAC